AAAAAAAAAAGACTTCATCATGAAAGAAAAGTCCATAGAGGAGTAGCCAATATCTGATCCAGAGAAATCTGATTTTATATATTAGTTAAACGAAAGGAGTGTAAACCCTGTACTTTAATATTAGGCTTACAAATTGAGGAATAATTGTCATTAATTAGCCAAGACTATTAAAAGAGGTTGTACTTTTTTTGTTTTTATTAATTTTATTGAGAAACAAATAGCAATGAGACAGTTTCAAAACCAATTAGTAGGACAGTTTCAATAATTGATACATTGCATGTTGTTGTCTTTGTAGTGGTTATTCATAGTACAAGATGCAGAAATAATATCCTGTCCAAACACTATTAGTAAAAATCTTTCTTCTCATTGAATTAAGAGAAAGAAGCTGTATATCTATCCTACCTATTTCATATATACAGATACAAAATGTATACAGATACAAAATGTCCTTCATTTGTATATCCTTTTTTTAGTTTTGTCAGAGATGGGTATTCTATTGCCATTTAAATCTTGTAGGTGCATGAATTCAGCAAAATTATCCAACATATTCCAGTAGTCCATTGTAGTAGTGAATTATCTGTAGGACTGGCAATGTCAGAAGTTGACTTGAGCCTTTTACAGCTCAGCATATTAATATGGCTTTCCTTTTTTTTTTTTTGCCTGCTCAGGATGCCTTAGGGGCAGGTCTGGTAAGGCATGAGGTTCAAACCACAGAACTCAGCCTGACTGCTTTGCTTAAGCAGGCACCTAAATAACTGAGCAAATGGGCAGGCCCCCTATGGCTTTATTTTTTATACCTCATTTTTATACTTTTCTGCTGGATGGTTAAGACCAAGATAAAGCAAGACCTATGTAACAAGAAATATAACTTTTGTATCTGATAAGGTCAGTCAAGTACCCTCAGGATTTATCCTGTAACCCGGTCCTGTAGGTTGCAGATCCTTTCTGTCAACCATGTGGATGAGTCACGGCCATTGCTTGACCAATTTGCTCTCTGTGAAGGCCTGAGAGAATGTTTTCTCTCCAGGTGACTCTCCTTAGGCACACTCTACATCATCGATCACTTTTCTCTGTGGCCCCATAATCTCCTTGATCAGAAAATTTGGGACACCACTGAGTCACCATATATTTCAAGAATACCAATTGCCTGTGTTAGTTGGGACATAAACAATCTGTGTCGTAAATGTTCTTCCTGCCAAACAGTTTTTCATATGCAGCTTAATGCTAATTCTGCCAGTAGGAGTGGTGACATGACTCCTTGACTCTTTTGATGCCATTTTATGAGTAAAGTCAGCAAGATACAGAGAAATCTTACTCAGATCACAAGGGTGTCCATACGTGGGGCCCAAATTACAACTCACTGTCACCTTTTGAGGACTAACAAGATTACTATCCATGACGAGAACCAGACTAGTGATTTATTCTGTCTCTACTGTATTCTGCCCTGCAAGCTGACTCTTGTAAGAAGCTAATATTTTTTCTTGACTCTTATTTTTTTTTCTTGACTCTTATTAATGGTATTTTCAATAACTGATTCCAAGAAGAGCACTTAGTATGTGTTTGTAAGTATTTCCATCATTTCATTGGACTTACTGATAAATCAAGACCTCTATTAATGTTTATTTCAAGAATAAGAGAAGATTATGAATATAAGTATGATTGATCAGTGAAAATGAATCCCTAGTTTAACTTAGTCTTTAATAAAAGTAACCTTCTAGGGATGACTTGATATCCTTCAGGGAGCAGAAACTCAATCTTGAAAGAAAGGAAGAGATTGGATTTTGCTCTGATTTGGGTTTTGCTTTCTTTAAATTTTCAGTTGTCAGTGAAGTCCTCATAACAGGAAAACTGAGGTAATTCAACAGTGATGTGATGCTCTCATGGCTGAATATTTGGCATGTGGAGTTGGGTTCTGCTTGTGTGCCACTTGAGTTAGCTACACCCTTTAATCCTGTATTATTTTTTACTACTGGGGATTAAAGACAGGGTCTTTGCACTCAGCTACATACCAACTCTTTTTATTTTTATTTTTAAATTTTAAGTGAAAGCCTCACTAAGTCACTATGCGCTTAACTTGCAGCCTTCCTGCCTTAGTCTCTCAGAGTGCTAGCCTTTACATAATTTCTGTGTGAATCTATTCTTAAAGGGGAAATAAACCTTTTCCCCTTTAATTTTGAGGGCCAGGTATTTTGTCTTTGCAGTGAGAAAAGCAACTAAGACAGGCCTCAACCCCTCATGCAACCGTCTCTCCAAGGCCCTATCTCCTAGTGCTGTCACACAGGCGATTAGGTTTCAGTGTATGAAGCCCTAGCAGTTCTTTTGTAAAAGAAGCCCAAGACACAGCCTTGGCCCCTTTTATCATGTGAAGGCATCACTGTCTAGACCATTGCAGATGCTGATTCATTAGTTCATTTTGCACATTCTAGTCCTTGAGGTTTCTCGACTTCTTCTATTTCCACCTATCTTCCAAAACCTACCTACTTCTGGGGATGATTAAACTAGTGTTTAGCATGCAGCTTAGGAGGATTGGTGAAATAGCTCAGTGGACTAAGCATCAGCTTAGGCAAGCACAGGGACCAAGGTTCGATCCCTGACACCACATGCTGCACCAGCCCTGCCCCTAGGCTCACTGAGCTGGCCACCAAGACCAGGTGTGGTGGCACACACCTGTAATGCCAGTCCTGGAGAGACTGAAAATAGGAGGATTACTAGGAGTCCAAGCTGTGTAGTGAGACCCTGTATCAAATACATTTTTTTTAAAGATGCAGCTTAGGGATCCCAGCCTCTAGGTGTATTCTGTGACTTTGCTGTTCCCACACTTCCATGTTGGTTTCTTCTCACAACTTTATCTAGCATTGTGTTGAAATGCCCTCTGTGGATTTGTCTACATAGTACACTATAAGCCTCGTGTAGGTCCTTATGTCTAGGACATCATGGTTCACTATGGTGGATGAGTTTATATAATCATGATTTCTTGAACATACAGGTTCATGTGGAATCAGCTTCTTAAACAATGACTCTAATAATTTCTGGGCATCTCCTGGCACATCAGGCCCAAGGCTCTCTCTTTGTGTACCAGGCTTAATTGATCTTTGGAGGTGGCTTAACAACCTGTGCTACTTGTTGACAACAAATGGGACATCTCTGCCTTCCATTTCCCTTACGCTGTGGTGTTTCTTCCCTCTAGGTCAGAGGAAAGTGTTTGACCTTCCTTTGGGGAGCTGCCTCTTTTGCAGTCATGTGTATGATGCTGGGTCTTCCTTTCTCCATGACAACTGCACAACGTGTACCTGCAAGGTGAGGTGGTGCAGGTGGGCAGCAGCACCACCAAGAGGGTTAGGATGCTGGGGTCATTAGCCAGCAGCAGTGCTATTTATTTATCAGACATAGGAATTGGTGGTGCCACTTCACAAGTGGAGTCACACTCAAGGTCACCAAGAAGTCCACGTGCAACACTCACCTATTATTCAGCTCATCCTCTGGGACCCCACAAGGGGGCTCCTCCTGGTGAGATCAACATTCTGAACATTGTCCTGAGAATTCCCCAAGCCAGACACAAACATGGGGCCATGTTGCCCGGCTCCAATAACCAATGTGAATTCTCAGACACACTCATAAATTACAATGACTTTCATAATATTGACAGCAAAGACACACATGTATTTATGGTCCAAGCTGAGCCTGGTAGCTTGGGAAGATAGTATGTATGTGTTTCTCATTGTCCCATATCTTCCTGGGGCAATGGTTTTCTTTTCTGAAAAGGCAGATGATGGTGTAATTTTTAGTAGGAAAAGAATTCCACAGCCCTAGAGATTCAGAGAGACACATCACACATGCACAGATGTCCTTATGCAGTAAATTATATGTGAGACCAGGAAGAAAAACATTTCCCGTGGAGGGCTTTGGGATCTTTGCTAGTTAACTCCAACATCTGGGGCACCCAGTTTGAAAATAACTTATTTTGTTGGAGATGGCTGCTGTTTTGCTTATGATAGCTAAAGGGCTAGAGTGGCAGAGAGAGGCATGCAGATACAAAGACCAACCAGGAGAGCTATAGTAACAGGTATATTATTCCAGAGTTGGCAATTGCCTGTTGTTCAAACTAGACATCAAAACATGCAGCACATGTGCATAGCATCACCTGGGGTGACAGCTTAGCTCTGAATTGGTGTTCTTTGATCAAAGATGCCTAGCTTCCTATGAAATGCCTCACAGTGGCAGAAGTCCAAGGAAGAGACTCCAGAAAGCTCTGTTAAGGAAGAATGTGGAGGAAGAGAGAGGCAGGAAGGAAGAAACACCATGGTTTGCAGTGAGTGGGGCTTCACTGGCTGAGTGGACTGGCCTCGAGTGTGGAGTCGTAAATCACTGGAAGGGGGGATGTGTGCTTGCTGGCCTCAGACACTAGGATCCTATACAATGTACTCCAGATGCGAGGCAATGGAGAACATTGTGAAGAGAGTCATAGTTCTATTTCAAAACATGAATACATAGCACTGTCTTTATCACTCTCCTCATTGCTGAGACAAAATACCTGACACCCAAAGTTAAAGCAGGAAAGTTTTATTTAGCTCACAATTTGCAGAGGTTTCAGTCCATAATTGGTTGGCTCCAACAGAGGGTGACATATGATAAAGGGGTGACTTCATGGTGATGGAAAACAGCAAAAGCAACAAGAGAGAGACAGGACTTCTCTTTCCCTTATATTGTATGTGGGCTGTCCACTCTACGGTGGGTGTAGCACTCACACCCTTAATCCCAGCACTAGACCATGAAGTAGATTCACCCACCTCTAAAAATCCTGCCCCCCATGACTGCATGAGGATTTGTGGTGACATGTAGACACAAACCATAACAAGCACCTATAATTTAAAGAAGTTACATGTGGATTATTGAAGGAAGACCAGCTAAGATATCTGGTCTACCTCAGGAAAGTCCTTTTTAATTTTCTGTTTCCTTTTGGGGCCCCAGGACTCCACTGTGGTGTGTAAGAAGAAGTGCTCCCACCCTGGCAGCTGTGACAGGGACAGTGAGGCCTGTTGTGAGCAGTGCCTCCTGCGAGTGCCCCCAGAAGACATCAGTGTGTGCAAGTTTGGCAACAAGATTTTCCGGGTATGTCCGAGGTGAAGCTTATTGGCACTGTTGCCCTGGGCTGACTGTTAAGCAGCTCTGGAGTAATGCAGGTTGGAGAGTTCTACAGTCTATGTGTGTGCACATATGGAGGTGTTTGTGTGTAGCTGATGTGCTCATGTGTATTGCAGTATTGTATATTTAGAATTAAGTAAGGGCACACGGGACATAGAGGCAACCTTTTGAAAAGTGTTTGCTTTGGCTTCGTTGCTGTTAGAATATCTGGCCTGGCCCAGCTCTTATGTCCTTCCTGGTGGGCGGTGTGGTTGTGGGCACCCACTGTCAGGAGCGTGTCATTCAGGTGGGCCCCTTGCCAAGATGACCCCCACATCGAGATCCTGATGGACCTCAGCTTGATGCACTTAGAAGCTTTTCACGAAGTCCCTTTCCCAAGAGGAATTTTCTCCTCTGGACGGTGCTCAGGTAACAACTGTTCTGCTGTGCGTGGCCAGCATGGTGGTCACAGGGCTGAGAGGACGCTGCCCCAGCTAAAGTGACAGATTGTCTGCTGGCATCTGGCCACCTTAGGTGTGATTCTCAGCCTTTTCTGGTGCTCACAGTGGGAACCTGGCAGTGGCCATTACACTCCGGATGCAGGCACTGGGCTTTGTTCTAGGATTCTCCCATCTCCCAGCCAGTCTGCTTGCCTCAAGGGTGGGGGGACTCAGTCTGTACCCGAAGATGTCACTTCTTGGTATTCTCGGGAATTGATAACTCAGAACCAGCCCAGTTTCGAAAGCTTCTTGGGCCAGGCTGCCTGGTCACCACCACAGCTGGAGGAGAGGCTTTGGTCCTCAGGGACTCTGAGAAGCCAGGATGTGTTCTGCCACCAGAGGGCTGTATGTGTTGTGCTTACCCGGCTTCCAGGACCACTCCTGCCCCCCACACAGAGTCACTCTTCGCCTCTGGAGCATGGAGATAAAATAGCTGCCCTCTCACAATGGGGTTTTGTGCAAAGCACTTTCAAATCTCCTTATAAATATGCCCCTCTAGGCGATTGCAGCCTGAAATAACTGACAGAGTTATTTCCTTTTTTATTTTTATATTAATTTATTGAGAAATAAATAGCAATGAGACTGTTTCAAAACTGATTAATAGGACAGTTTCAATAATTAATACATTGCACATTGTTGTCTTTGTAGTAGTTATTCATAGTAGATGCAGATATAATATCTTGTCTAAACAGTATTAGTTCAAAACTTTCTTCCCGTTGATCTAAGAGAAAGTAGCT